TTTCTTCTTTGATGTTGCGGCGCTGAAATAACACCGTATCATACACAATAAAATCCGTGGCTTGGTTTATGTATCGCCCACTTTCGTTTAAAATTAATTTATATTTCAAAATAATAACTTATAATTTATCTGTTGTTTGTTTGACTGATTTATTATTCGCAGAATACAGCTCAGTTAGATCGCAGCCAACCTACCATAAGACCCCAACAAAAGTAATTAAACATGAATATAATAACACAAAAAACGACTGTGAACCCGAGAACACATATTCTATATGCCTCGTACACATGTGTAGGCCAAGTCTTACATATCTTTTACACAAGAAACAATTTGTTTCGAACTATTTGTCCATCTACAGTTAGCTGTTTTTATATTAAATATATTTTATTGCATCAATACACACACATTAATTAAAACCGGGCACACAAAATCAAAATTAATTATATTACAAATCAATTGAGGTTATGAAAACAAATCAAGAACTATAAATATGCACATACACCTTTTTATATCTTTATAATTCTCCAGTTTGGCATAAAAACGCCGCCATGTTTTTTTTCGTAGAACGATTTGCACGTTATTTCTAACATTCATTTACTTTTTCATTCTTGTACAACTTTCTCTATTTGATATGTATCTGACACCAGATTAAACTAAGTGAACTAAAACTGAAGACGGGGGCAGTGCATGTATCGAACAAGCCTACGATAACATGTACGCATATTATTATTACACACCCTGGCCTATGCATTACGATTGAAATTGTCTGTATGTTACGTTTCTAACCATTGTCAATGCGCATAGACCAGAGGATTGCGTTATCTCTATATAACCCAGGAACCTGCTCGCTGCAATATCTACTATATATTTAATTATAATTAATGCCAGTGAACTTTATTTTTTTTTAGAAATATGTTTTATCGTTAATGACGAGCACATATGTACAAACACATCATAAATTGACATCAGGCAGTGTTACCATAATGATTCTCCCATCATTGTCCACATTCTAATCTCTGGAAACCAGCCACATATATGCCAGATCGTAAGCGTCTTAAAGTTTGAAGCGGTTTACATTTTCCACAATATATTATTATTATAATAATACAACAAAGTCCAATACAATGCATTGGATTGTTTTTTGTTTTTTATTTTGATGTAGTAAATTAGTATTTAATTGTCCTGAAATGCCGCGAGCTTTTTTTTGTTAACTTGCAATCGTCGATTATATACACGGTAATGCTTTTTATAAATGTAACTACTTATCGGTTTTTGCCAAAATGGACGCACAATAGGATTGGAGACATTGTTTGGGGCATACGTTTAAAAGTTCCACAATTTAGTATAACTCCATTGATAGAACAGCTTTAAACTCCGAAACCACAACGAGATTGTGTACAAGAGAAAATCATCACGGAAGCCGGCCCCGCGGTGGGGATAACACTCGGTCGGCTCGTTGCTAAAAAAAAAAGACAAATATCATCATTATGGCGCCAGCGAGGCAAAGAGATGGTGTTTACGTTCTTTCCATGTACCGCTTCGCCCCCAGCATTTTCCCATAACCAATATGAAGATGGTTGTGCGAAAGAAACATAGAAGAGAGATTTTTGTTTTCTCTCCGCGTTCAATATGGTTGATTTCTTTGTAATGCTCATCTGATGCCGCCATCAACAGTATGGCTAGCGAAGTTTTATAAACTGTAGCCGAGCCTTGGGGGGGATGGAAAGAGTTTCAAACACGTACCGACTTGCTACATGCCGCATCACGACTCCTGCCTCTAGAAACAGACTCGCGAATGTACGTGTATTCCATCCGTATTCGGCACCTTTGTACTTCACAACTAAATGACGACTTTTCTGAATAGCTCACTTTTGATTGTACGTGGAGACTTCGGACAAAAAAAAAGCCAATTTTCACACCTTGAATTTCACAGTACTCACACGTAAATGGCTATTGCGATAATTTAGCATACAGATACATACATGGTTGAAAAACGCATTCAGGGCGTACATACATCCACTTTTATATGGTTTGTTGTCATGGAAACTCGGCATGTCGTATCTTTGATCTCATTCAATAGGTACGCCCGGTCCAAATACAGTAGAAACACGTGTGTAAGGTTTAAGGCCATAATGTACCATTGATATTGTATTGCCGGGACAATAACTTTACAGTACGTTTCAAAACTGCCCCGAACTGAAAGCAAGCATAAATACCGGGTAATTGTTTAAGTTTTATGTCCCCAAAAGGTGGAGCACATATGGGAGGGAGTATGAAAAACAGCAGATAATTTTATTTTCATTTCCTATTGTAAGATATTTGTAACATACTGACGACATATTTTAATGATAACGAGCATCCATAATTCAAATTTTGCCGATCCCCGCACTTCTCGCTGCCCCTGCTACTGCTGCTGATACGACCCATGCTTGATCTTTCTGTGCCGGGTCCGAGTAGCCATGGTAACTACATAAATCTGTTCCGCCGTATAGATTTTACAACACTTCGATTTTCAGCAATAGTCTAAATGAACTCTACCGTGACTCATGGATTCACACCTGCATATTGCTTCATGGGCTCGTATATGGCCATCAACGGTCGATTCATCCGTATTGATGTTACCATGGTTACTTCAATAATCTAGATAATTCACCCAAGTGCTTCGGGGCCAAAATTGTGAAGAATGATGGTCGTTAATGTTGTTTCAGTAGGAACTTTAAAATATGCATCGTGTCAATACTTATAAAAGGACATCGTGTAATAAATGCACTTGACAGGTTGTGGAAACCGTGCACCGTTCTCCTCATCAATCTGGAACTCGCGGATGTTAGTCACTTCGCTGTTTCCAAATACTGAGTTGGGGAAAAGCTATGCAGATGAGTAAAAATAGGCAAGAGGTACCGGAAAACACTTTCTGATTTTATTGTGTCTGCTGCTTATTTTTACGAGAACATTTGATATTATGGACATTTATAATAGAATTTAGTTTACGGCAAAACAGCGCCCTCTTGCTAAATTGTACTTCGAACTATCAGCTTGACGGGCGGCACGTGTGATGAGGTTTGGTAACACATGACGCGGGGTAGCTGGTACAGCAGGGGTGGACGACAACACGTTTATTCGAGTAGGCTGGCGGTTTCCAAACGAACTTGTCAACAGTGTACGTACCAATGTAGGCTGGCACAATCGTGGACATTTTATTGCTTTATATAACTCCTCCTTTTTAAAATCTTGGGTCCGACGCGAAGCACAAATTTTTTTTCAGGACACTGCTGTCCCTCCCGGGCTGTCCCTCCTGACTTTGTTATATTCAAATATAGCTGTGATTCATAGCCGTCTTGGACACCTGGCTTGGACACATGGGCCGGACGATGAAGTATGGCTGGTAGCATCTATCAGAAACATCTTAAATTATATACTTACAGCTTACAACAAAATAAGAACACGTCATATAAATAAAAGGTAGTGAGCGACGGAACGGCATTTTTTATAGGCTAGAGAAGCCATTTTTTAGTAACGCCCATGTAATTTTTTTCCAATCACGGCCGGTTTGCGCGGATCCTATTCCATAAAATTAATTCAAAACACCACAAATTAATTGTTCGCAAAATCTGATACATATATTTCGAATAGTACAGGCATGGTCGATGTTGAGTAAAGCGTGGTATAATTGGTGTCGTCATATTGACAGCTAAAGCATTGTGATTGGTTGAGCTGTTTCAAAAATGTGTTAAACATGTCAATTCATTCACAGCTTTCTAAAATGTAGAATATAGATAGATAAAACATTCTTAATTTTGCAGATCGATAAACCATTTGCAAGTTAACAGGTCTCGATTATCGATTGATACAGTTTACATGTGAAGTACGGGGTAGTGAAAGCACATACTTATTACTATACTCATGCGTTTTCTGAACTAATTTCTTCATTTAAAAGACGTATTCATCCGGCCCAGGAATGAAGGCAGAAACACAACCATGGTTACGCGTGCGTAAATTGCGCCACCAACGGATATAAACAGTCAATATTTAGTTGAGGGCGGTATACTACTCACGTGCGCAGGGGTTTTAATAAATCTCCGTCCAAGGCAATGTCTTCTTTCAAATTTATTTTTTTTAAAAATGGCTATGGCGAGCACCCCCCAAGTTTAGACATTCTCGGTCAATGCATGCATGAACTTTGAACATAAACTTGAGTCTGGTCTCTCCAGCAACAATATGATTATGATGTTGACGCAAGTCAAGTCTTGATAAGTGACCACCACAATATAGACATTTAGCAAAAACTAAGATATTTTTTATTAAAACTTGCACATTATATGACAAATGTAAAACTATGTGTGTAAAAAATAAAATAAATAAGGTACAACTTGCCTGAGATGCTGAATTGTTCGAGTTACAGACAACAAGTTACAAAATCATAGAGTTACAAAAACGAGCACGTCAAATCAAATTTTGGGCGTGGTTTTGCAAAAGTGGGCGTGGTTTCTAGAATATGGGCGTGGTCATTTTTGTAATTCGATGTTTTAATTACTCAATGTTTGTAACTCGAACAAATTCAGCATCTCATTCGTCTTGCATGTATTGAACATCACTGGGCTGAGAAAACTAGTATTTCATTGGAAAGGACTGCCTGCCAGGGGTTCACCTAATTGATTTAACATGAGAGATCTCATTCAAATGTTTATGAAAGCATTAATACACCATTTTGTGTGTGAAATTTAACTAAAGACAGGGGAAAACAAACGTCATAGTGTACTGGTGGTGTCAAAACATTGGCATGGGATCAACAAATACAAAAATATTGTTGGCGTATTTCAACACACGATAATGTGCTATACACATATGATGATGGTTAGTTTCGATGAAGTAAGATTGGAATTTCAACATTAAGCTATAATTCACAAAGTGTGAGATTCTCACAAAGTGTGAGATTCTCACAAAGTGTGAGATTCTCACAAAGTGTGAGATTCTCACAAAGTGTGAGACCTCGAGTTTTCAATTTGAAATATATTTTAATTTTATGCATTTCATAATGTACACAGATAGCTGAACTTATCATATAATTTGTGCCAATCTGTTTGGTTTGTCAAGGCCCCCTAAGTGAATGGTTAATGTCAATCTCAGGCTCATATTTTGAATGGTGGTGGCAGGGCTGGACTTAAAAACATCATTATCACACCCCCCCCCCCCATATCCCCAACAAAATTGTATATGAATTAGTAGCTGAATCAACTGTTTATTATAGAATTATTGCAAGATGCACGGTAGACTCTATACAAAAATGTTAATGAATGAACAGTGTGTTCGACCTATGTATGTAACATTGCTAAACATGGGGCACACAACCCTAACCACCAGCCCCCTTTGATATTAAAATGCATATAGTTCAGAATACAATTTTATAGGAAAACAAGAATTAGTAACCAACTGAGACTGAAAAGCAAAACAAAAAGAGTATATAACGTAAGTCAGTAAACAGTCTCTACATTGTCGTTATCCATTAATAACTGCGCATTTCTCTCTGTTTCATCTGTGTTGACTGTAAGACTCGGTATCATTGGCTCGTCAATCTGGAGGTCATCGGAGTCACCATCCTGCACCGTAGCTATTACGGTATACTGATGCCAGCCTTTAGGTCTGCAGAAAGAAGAGAATTTATCGCTTAGGTTTTGGAATACTTGGTTGCAGTGATCTGTAGTTTCAGGTCACTCAAGTCTATCCCCCAAATTCCAAGTGCAATCGCAGCGTTAATGAGAGATAACAGCGACTTTTTTTGGATTCATTTTTCCCCGGTCTTAATACACATGACGTGTATTAACCAAGGAGGTCTCAGTTTAGAGTAGCGAACTAAACTCCATGGAAAAAAAAAATTACTGTTTCAAAAAGTATAAAGCTCTGAATTAGAGGTTATTTTGTGAAAAAAAACCTGGTGAAAATTTGAATGTTGGTAATACTCAATCAATTTGATAACTTACATTACTTATACCATGTTACTAACCTTAGGAATGTAGCAAGTAGTCCTGGATCAACAACTTGTAGTCTCTCGTCTACAATAAAACATCGGATTATTTCACTGGATATTAATCCAATTACGACAGTTACTAAGAAACCGACACCGCTGTACCACATAAATGACAACTGAAATAAAACAGATGCAAAAAGGATATTGTAGATGCATTAATTGTCACTATTATTTTATTTCATTATTTTAATATTTTATATCTTATGAGGTGTTACGAGGATACTG